TCTTATGCCTTCCTCTTTTCCGTTTCCCTTCAGGATTCCAAGTTAGGGCTTGTCTCGTGATGCAGTTTGACGATTTGCGTAATGTATATCCTATTCATTTCCATCGTCCTTTCCTAATTTCTTCTTCAGCTCGAAGCTGATTTGTTCTCTCCCACAGAAGGCTATTGCTGATGGTATCCGGCCAATGGATGTTGAGTATCTTCCGTAGACAGCTATTTATAAATACTTGTACTTTCTTGATTGTGGTTGTTGTAGTTCTCCAAGTTTCAGCTCCATACAGTAGAACTGCCTTGACGCTCGTATTGAAGATTCTCACTTTGATATTGGTTGAAAGTTGTTTTGAGTTCCATATGTTCTTTAATTGTAGGAATGCGACCCTTGCTTTGCCAATCCTTGCCTTTACATCTGCATCTGAGCCTCCTTGTTCGTCGATAATGCTTCCCAGGTATGTGAAGGACTCTACATCTTCCAGAGTTGCGCCATCAAGAGTGATTGGATTGCTGTTCTCCGCCTTAAATTTGAGGACCTTGATTCTCCCCTTGTGTATGCTGAGGCCTACTAATGCAGAGACTGCTGCTACATTGGCTGTCTTCATCTGCATCTGTTCGTGTGTACGCGATAGGAGGGCTAGGTCATCTGCGAAGTCCAAATCGTCTAATTGATTCTGAGCTGTCCATTGTATTCCGTGTTTTCCTTCAGATGTCGAGGTCTTCATAATCCAGTCGACCACCAGGAGAAAAAGGAAGGGAGAGAGTAAACAGCCTTGTCTGACTCCGGTCCTTACTTGGAATGCATCTGTCAGCTGTCCTCCATGCACTACTTTGCACTGTAGTCCGTCGTATGAGTTCCGGATAATATTGACAATCTTCTCAGGAACTCCGTAGTGTCGAAGAAGTTTCCACAACGTCCTCCTATCTACACTGTCGAATGCCTTTTCATAGCCAATGGAGTTGACGTACAGTGACGAGTTCCACTCAACTGATTGTTCGACGATGATCCGTAGTGTTGCAATTTGGTCTGTGCACGACCGATCCCTACGGAATCCAGCCTGTTGATCTAGAAGTTGGGCGTCTACTGCATCTTTCATCCGGTTCAGCAAAACTCTGTTAAAGACTTTCCATGGTATTGACAGCAGTGTAATGCCTCTGTAGTTTTCACATTAGCTCAGATCTCCTTTCTTTGGAATCTTGATGAGGTGTCCTTCTTTCCAGTCCATCGGTACGTGTTCCTCCTCCCGAATCTTTTTGAATAGAAGGTGAAGCATGTTTGTAGTCACTTCGATGTCTGACTTCAGTGCTTCAGCTGGTATGTTGTCGGGTCCCGCTGCTTTATCGTTCTTGATTTGTTTGACGGCCATTCTGATTTCTTCCTTCGTTGGTGGGTTGACGTCTATGGGAAGATCTGTGTGTGTTGCTTCGATGTCCGGTGGATTCATTGGAGACGGCCTATTCAGGAGTTCCTCGAAGTATTCTACCCATCTGTTACGCTGTTGTTAAATTTCGGTGATTGGCTTGCCTTCTTTGTCTTTGACCGGCCTCTCTGGTTTACTATATTTCCCTGATAGTTTCTTCGTTGTATCGTAAAGCTGTTTCATGTTTCCTTCTCTAGCAGCTTTTTCTGCCGTCGTTGCTAGTTCTTCAACGTATTTCTTCTTGTCGGCTCTAATGCTCCTCTTCACTTGTTTGTTTGCTTCTATGTATTCAGCTTGTGCTTGGACTTTCTCTGCTCGTGTTCGGCTGTTGTTTATTGCTGCCTTCTTGTTCTTCCTTTCTTTGATCTTGTCCACTGTTTCTGTAGAGATCCATTCCTTATGATGGTATTTCTTTAGACCGAGAACCTCTTGACACGTTGAAGTTAATGCTTCCTTGATGCCTTTCCAGTTGTCCTCCATACTAGTTTCTCCTTCTTTCAGTAGATCTTGTAAGGCTTGGAACCTGTTGTTGAGAGCTATCTTGAATTCATTAAGTTTGACAGTATCTCGAAGGAAGGCTGTATTGAACCTTTGTATTGCTGTTTGTCCAGTTCTTTTTTAGCTTCAGTTTTAAATTGGCTACAACTAGGTGGTGATCTGAAGCTACGTCAGCACCTCTCCTGGTTCTCACATCTTCCATTGTCCTTCGGAATTCTTTGTTGATGCAAATATGATCTATTTAGTTCTCTGTAGTGTGGTCCGGTGAGATTCATGTAGCCTTGTGTATACGCTTGTGTGGAAATATTGTGCCCCCTATGACCAATTTGTTAACTACACACTGGAACTACTGACCTGATTATTGCGAACTTGTAAATGCTTCACATACGTTACTAAAAACATACGCAAATTAATACTGTTATATACCTAGATTCTATCACATTTTACCACAAGCATAGTAAGTGCAAGTTACAGACTTCTTCCATGTAGTTGTTTACTTGACAATTTACTGAGTACTGGATAAAGGCATCGGTTCGTTATTACTGCTACGTAAATATACAACATGCTGTGGTTTAGAAGATAAACTACGCTTCAGGAATTCATCATGTATTCATTAAAGTTCAAATGCTGAACATTATTATGGTAGTGGATGGATACACCATCTGCAAATCACTAGCAAAATGGGACTTGAAGAGCAAGCTTGGAACTACAGACAGCTTGTGTGAGAAAGATGCGGAGATATAAAAAGTCCAGTTTATACAACAATCGAACTCAAGTGGTAAAAAATCACAACTATTGTTCCGCAATGGTTTGCCGAAGTTGAATAAGAAAACCGCACCCAAAATATTATAAAATTGCTTGAAGGACCCAAAATTTTAACAGCCTTACCAACATCTTCATTGAATAGCAGTATGACTGAGGTGATCACAGGGAAGCAAAATATCTGAACGAAGAGAAAGTCATATAGGACTTGGAAGCCACAAAATGACACCACTGGAAGCATGTTCGTACAAAATATACGAAGGAAATGGTAAGTAGGTCGTGGTAGTTGTGTAACTAATGAAGATACAAATTAAAGTGAATCATGTCTTGGTCAACAGTGTCTACACGAATATCTTTAATTCATTTATCCATGGTAGACCGTATTACATGGTCGGTCAATCGTTAAATCTAAATGTCAACAGACGATTAGTGCTGTAAAAGTTCGATTTTTGTCCAGTAGTCGTTTAAAGACTCGCTGAAGCATATTGTTAAAACCTGTTCACTTGCTAAATCTGCTATACTGAGGGTATCTACCAATGTTTTTTTTCCATAGATGTATTTGGCTAATCTCCAGTAGTGAGTTTGCAGAAACCTCTGTTCCATCATAAAACAATGAAACTCGAAATGGTTACATAAATACCTAGGTTCCTACCTGATGATCTACTCCCACTAGATATGGAAGTTCGTTGAGTGAACGCTCCTTTCATTCTGTCCACAATCATTCGAATAGATTTTACTCAAGTATAAGGCAATAGCTTTCCTCCAAATAGATTTTTCCAACTAAGCACATAAGTTCAAATTATGGCCATAAATAAGGTACTGATGTCTGAGATACGTTGTGTGGATAATATTAAATCGTTCAGAGCTAGCAAGGGAGTTATAAAACGCTCGATTGTCTCTGAGGGATAGCAAAATGTCACTGAGCCACAGTCTAGTCACCCAACAGGCATGGCTTGTGTTGAACGATCTAGCAAATCTCGTCAACCAGCTCGGATCAGTTTGCACGCCACTGACTCGCCGATACGCTGGTGGTCGCACTCTATTCCTCCTATCCTTACTAATACACTTCTGTAGTAACGTCTATATACAATCATCAAAGTAGCCATGATACCTATACACAACGAAACAGTAGTGCACCCTAGGTATTGTGAGGTGTGATGTCAGCTACCCCGCACTATTCCCGTACAACTTGAGTAGCCCTCATCATCTGCATTGGTGATTGATAAGGATGTTAAACTCGAAGTTTCCCAGGCCTTACGAAGTCAAGTCCAAAAGATAAAAAAACGAATACAAACTTGACAGGACAAAATGATGGCCACTCAAGAAACTTCCAATCGATCGACCCAAACACAAACAAGGACGAAGACAATGATGGTCACGAGAAAATCCTACTTGATTCCATGTAGAAGTATAGGAGTATGAAAATCGCAAGGTAGCCATAAAGGATAGGTGTTTTATGTCGAGTCGTGCCATAATCCTCAAACGGATATAACCAATCGAGGGCTAACAATTAGTGAGTACATGATTTAGACAGTCTATACATGTATTACAACCTTTTAAATTTCAAATCTTATTGCTTCAACTTAATCCTTTCACCTTATATATATTCTTTGAAATTACCAGTCAGTACCTGTCTTCGGTGAGGATTTCGTCTCTTCACTTATTATTTCAAAACTTATGACGAAAGCTAGGGAATAGAGTATAACGTTGTTCCTCAAAACACAGGCAACTGTGACTACAAAACATATGACTGTAAATTCATAAGTTCCAACTGATGGGGCTATAACATTACAGAATCAAATCCCATGCTTATCATAAATGCCTGATTATGGCATAACTTATCGTGACCATCAAGTGTCACTGAAACTGTTGTCTTGATGGAATTACTTAACAGAAAACGGAGCAGACTTACACAAATTGCAGAGCAGTTCACGCACTATGGACTGCCTTTGTGATGCTGCTGCGAGTTTGACTTTAAATAAACAAACCATGTGCCAGGTCTAAATACCCAGAAATGTAGAAAACGAAGAATGCCTACGGATCACAACTATTGAGGAGTGCCTAGACAATCGGATATTTAGTACGAAATGTGTCTAAGCAGCATGATTGAGGGGGCATAATATTTCTTAGATAAATCTATTAAAAGATGTCGGGTTCTTAAACTAAGAAAACTGGGTTTTTTTCATGAACCCCAAACATTCTAATCACTTTACTGCATAACAACTTATGCTTATATTGGTCACTACTAAGATTAAAATGCATTTCTGGAAAGCACCTACAGTTTAGTAACTACAAGTGATCTTTGACACTCTTGAAATATAGTTTTATACTGCTATAGCTTACAGGTTTTACGTGGCGTTGATGCACCACATTGGTTTGGTGTACTATTCGGAGACGTTTTGAAATATACACAGTGCCGATTAATAACACGATATTAGCCATTGCATTGATGTATTGCCACGAAGCACATTAGTGAGTGTCTGACGAAATTATCTCTGTGATCTCTAAAATATGAATACTCAATAATTAATAGCTTTTCTTTTGATAGGTTCTCCTTAATTCAAAACAGCTCTTAAGGAAGAATGTACTTACATTACAATAACTTTTCGAATAGAAAAGAAAAATATCACAAAACGGAGCATCCTCGGAAAACAATCACATAAAAAATATTAGATAATGCGTAGTCAGTTGAATAAAATGAATAGTCTAACACTAACTAAAAAGTATTTTACATCAATATGTTTATGTTTAAGAGAGAGAAGTGAATATACATTTTTTATATTCACCATACATAAGGAATCAGCATAGCACGTTTAGATGCCCACTCAGGGAAATTATTTTTATACCAATTATGATTTAGCCATATACAGCATAATTGATTGCATATTGTGAAAAATAATATATGCGAAAATGGTATCCATTTAGGTGTAATAAATAACTGACATGATAAGTAGATTGATATTTCAAGTATGTAGTGCGGGCACGATACCCAATAAAACATGCTCCCTTCGGGTGGATAATACTTTTTCTCCGATAACTTGTCTAAAAACAACAATAAATGTTTTTAATTAAGCGAAACGTTGGTAAGCTATTTAAAAATATGAAAAAAATTGAATTCTATAGTTTAAGTGAATTCTAATTTTATTTCAATGAGTTAGAAACATGCAGAATATCCAAAGCCAAAAAGTATAATTCACAAATAATTTATCACATCAGTATGGGGGTTGTGGAGATTGTTAAGTGTTTGGTTGAGATTATGAATTAATTGATGTTAGACCACCGTTGGAAACCTGGAAGCACTGGACGGCCGTTTCGTCCTGGTATGGGACTCCTCAGCAGTGCGCATCCACTGTGGTCTAACATCAATTAATTCATGATCTCAACCAAAATAATTTATCATACTTTTTTCCCCCAATAAGATCGTTGCAAAGTCAGGTAATTTGATTTTCATTGGCTAGCTTATATTCCAATGGTAGTTCTAATGCTCACCGATTAGTTTGCTAGATGAACACATATATACTAAGCATATAAATGTAATAAGTTTTGTGAACTGAACAATTTTAATATTCTACCATCTATATCACAAAAAGCTTGTAATCGTGTTACATAAAACCATGTCATTTACACCGATGTGTTTTTAATTACCCAGTTAGTGAAATATAATTCATAATCACATGACTATTAGAGTTAAGCTAAAAGTCTATAAAAGATTTATTATAAATTTTAAGATATTTTTTGGATGGAATAAATTAACAAACCTCCAAGAACTAGATAAATAAAAAAGGATAAAGATTGAATTGACAGAAAAATTCCATATACATTACGTTTCGACCATTTGTGTGAATTAGCATTTTTCTAATTGAATTATTGAAGTGTTTACCAATAATCATCAGTAACCATAGTGACCAAGTTTACAGTTGATGGCGTCTGTTGATAAAACTATTTCGAAAATATACTGAATTAAAGCAAATGTTACTTTAACAAGAGTTCAGAACAAGTAACACCAGCTGGTTAATTATTTATCACCAATTTTTTTACTGGTTTTCATCTTAAATCATAAAGTATGCGAGATAAAATAACTAATCAATGATTCAAAAACGTTTTTGAAGTAAGATAACTAATTATCAAATACAGTTGTGTATTAATAAGGATTTGTAATTTCTCTTTGCTGATATTTAGTATCGCAGATGACCAGTCTCTGTTCTGAACTGCGCCTGGAGCCCCTCTGGAGCTACTGCCGGTTCCAAGCCCTGATAAAGAAGGCGGGTTAGGCACGGGGTTAGCGACCCCATTTCGTAGAAAACTAACTCGTTAAAAAAACGCTAAAACTCTCTATTTTGGATTTTACTGCTACTCAAATACTGAATATACTATATTAGACACTAGTTTGTCACATATATATGAATCTAATAAGCGACGAATTCAGTTTTAAATTGTTACCGAATTACAAGAACAACCAATAAAGCCATGGATAACGGTAAACCTTACTACTTAATGCAGAAAACTAAATTTTAAAATCAGAGTATTTTACTATGTATAAATAGCTTCAAGAAAAATTAATAAACGAAAAATACTGTACTTTCAACATAAAGCATAAAAACTTTGGTCATATATTATGCCATATGATGAAAATGTTTTTATTTAGATATCATCTATGGAAATAGTGAGAAATCAAACTGTCACTGTGCATCTAAGAAGTCAACTAACATTTATAAACAAGTTGATAATCCGAAAATTCCTTAATCTTTTAACTTGACCTGCTTAACTTCAGGGCTAGTCTACGTGAATTAATCTGTTCAAAATCTACTTAAATTAATTCAAGAATGTGAAAATCTATTCATTATCAACTTCTGAAATGTGAAGAATAACAGCTTTAAACACTCTTTAATTTAATTACGATGTGTTGAAGAAATGTTGTTGCTATTCATTTAAAATGATATTCACTGCATTTTGTAACACAGTTAATTGACTAATAGTCAATGAATGTAAAGTAAGAGATCGAAGGATTTCGATTACGTGGGAGGTATGTATGAGGGAGCTACGGAGTACATGGCAAACATTCAATCGCAACTGAAAAGACCGAGCTGATGGAACGGTAAAGATGAGTTGAACACAGTGAAAGTGCAAACTGTGCATTCCAATTCACCACTTCAAAATGAAGAGAACTTCATCACGTTCATGCATAACAATAAATAAATGCATTCTTTAAAGCATAGGTATGATATTATTTGATAATTTGAGTGAATATTCATCAGACTAACGAAAGCAAATAATGAAAGAAAAAACAACTATGTCTCAGCCTTATCGAGGTTTAATTAATTCAAAGGGAATTAATCTTAAATGACAGAATTTGTTTCCATTAGAGAAAACCAGGTGTTTGTAAAGTTATTGCATAGAAATGTATTTGCATTCTTAAAAATAGGATAACAATCTACCGTATTAACACAACTACAAGCTGATAAGTGTCTTTAAGTGAAAAAACAAAGCAATAACAGAGAGGTTCGGTGATAAAAACACTAAGTTTAGTAGTTAACAAGAAATACATTCTTAAGAATTTGAACATTCTGAACACTAGAAATATAATACTGCAGTGTAAATACCAAACATACAGTGGGCTTATTTTTTAAGAGAGTCTAATTTAATATTATTTAATGTTCGCAGTGTTACTAAATATTGAACTCATGAGTCTCAAAATCTGAACATAGGGCTACCCACTTCACTTTGTGCAACAAGTTGATTTTTATCTTCCATCTCAGAAATATAATGCAAAATAGAGTGAACTAATAATCTGTAGTTGGCTGTTATATTGTATTAGATGATAAATTTGGGATGTTATTACTTTAGGGTCCATAACTAACCAAGGAAATCGTGGTTTAAGCGCCCACCACGTCAATATGGTCTGTAAACTAACCCTGTTGCATGTGACTTGCCAATTGAAGTACATTATTATCCTATTAGTGTGATTCATAATTTTTTATTCATTTCAATAAGACAAGCAATACTGGTCGGTATACTTGTGCGTTCCACTTAATGAATATAATTCCTTTAATTATTGTACTAATCGGATTGTTTTTTTACGTGTAGAGACAGATAAAGTTTAAAGTCAAGTTGTCCTTGTTCTGACCATAACTTCCACATAGACTCTGGGATCGCCAGTATCGCGTTCACAGTTCTAGTAGTATATCTGTAGGACAAATTAAATCCTACACTTACTGTTCGATAAGTAATAAAGTGCATTTTCAGCTATCAAATGAATGAACATACAATAAATAAAATATTAGTTTTAAACGGCAGTAAGTGAACTGAAATAATTATTTTACAAAAAAAACTTGGGCCACCTTGAAGTTACTCCGATTATTATTTCAAGATTTATTTATTTTGTGTTGAAATATCGTTACTTATTACAATAATGTAACAACTCCATTTAAATGATCAATAAATCTCGATTAGACTACTTATTAATTTATTCATCACAATTAATGGTGAATGCAGTTCATTATAAAATTCACATAAAACTCTCTACAAGATTCGATTTCGATAAAGAATCGAATATATTCAAAATAATAACTACTGTGTTTGAGTTATTTGCTAATATTTTTAGTGACATCAAATATGGAACAAGGAAATAACACGATCTATCAGAAATTTGTTACTAAGAAGTGAAATTATAGGAACAAATCTGTGGTAGAATTAAGTTAATTTAGACTCTGAATACAGCGGTACTCACTGACTGTCACTCGCATAGATAAAATAACAGTTTTGACAGTGTTATATATTTGAAACTAAGAGGAAACAAGACTAGCTTTGAAGCTTAAGTACACTTCTCGTAAATGAGTGATAGATAGAAAAAATTTTAGTCTGTAACTGACTGCTGAGAAATGAAAGTTTTTGACGCAAGATACTCGGTGTAACAATGTAAAATAATTTAGATTATCGACTGAAAACCTCTTCGAAAAGACAGAGACAGGCTGCAGTAGCTAATTAAACTAAAAGCTTCGAAATGATGGGAAGATGTGGTCAAATTTGTAGTTGCTTTTCTCAGACTTATCTACACATAAGATAATGCTAAAACGCTAAACAAGCCTATTGTTTGTGTAGTTGGAGGTAATTGACAGGAACTCCTTATAAACCCAAATATTTTACTGATTAACACCCGTCGGCAACGTGCACTAGCAATAGACAATCAATGTCGAATGCTCACGAAATTCAATCATCCGGACAGAAATCTGAACATAGTGAGATCACGGGTACATAAATAGTATATTAAATGAAAAATGTATTACGTGAAAATTACCTGTGTTTTTATTTTTCCCTGAACGTAAGGCAGCTAACTGTCGGAAAACCAAATCCTGCAAATACTGGAGTATTAACATGTGTACACTAAATAAGCCAATAGTCAAATATGATCGTTCAGCTGAAAGATAAGTTAGTGTTAAATTATCAAATTAATGAAGGTACATAAATAAAATGTTATAGTGAATCTACAGATAAAGATTATACTAGAGCTGAGCGACATTCACTGTATGGATGCTCTACGTAAAATCTGGTGAACTATAAAGAAATATGTGGGGGGAACAGAATTCACAATCAAAAACGAGACGGTTAAAATTTGAATATGTAAACTATTATTTTGAAACTCCACAAGCATGCAAAAACACCTACTCAAGTTTGGGAGACGCTCCAAGAAGATATACTGAACGTGACACATCGAACAAATTTGACAGACATAGGGTATGATAAGTGGAAGATGCTGATGAGCACACACTATGGATTAGGATTTGAATTGACTCTGAGAAAATGTAGATATGCTACTGTTTGAAAATCTGGCCTTATCTTCTAAGGGAAAAGGACATATTTAAGAGTGAGGTGGACATATACTTCCAACTCGGTTACCGAATAAAAGCTTTCTAACTAATTTTGGTCCTTCCACTAAAGTACTTAATTTAGGTATCAATATGGCAACAGACTCAGGCGATGGAAGATAATGATAAAATGCAAATTCCAATTTTTGCTCTAACCCAAATGAAAATGTCACATAGCGACAGGACGATATATATATTCTAATTTTATAATTTGAACACATTAATTTATACAGCGTGATAAATCGCCAAGATTAGACATTAAGTGCCTATGATACTGACATCTTGACCCACTTAAAGATTAGCAACCCTCTATGAAGTTTGAACTTCACCCTACCAAAAAAGAGGTGTCGCGACCGGAGCTTTTCAATATGTTTTAAGAACCAGTTCTGGGCAACATGTTTACAGTTAGTTGAATCTTTGTCGAAAACAAGTTTTGTACTCTATAAAATTCTTGTTTCAAGAGGTTTTTATGTTGATACGACTATTGTGAAAATTCATGCTCCCTAGGAATAAAAGCTAGCTGAAAGACATACAATTAGACTTAATACATTGATTATTTCTATTGCAGATTAACTCCACTACTTTTACAATGAATTACATTAAACATACTCATCCTGACATCTGCTATATGTTGTTTTATGTGGTAACTGAACGTTAGAGTATCATGTAGTATAAACTAATTAATTGGTATCTGTTATGTCCCGATAAGAATGAAAAATGGTGACTTTTGGGATCCATTTATGGACCAATAATATGCGTATATTTTTATCGTATAATTGTTAAGTAACTAAACTTTGCATATTCATATCCCTCTTATTATGAGCTTTATTTTGACCTTTGAGCTATTATTATACGATCTACCATCCTTGAATTATGCCCTGTTTGTTAATTACTACCTCTCTCATTCACAGCCACATTTGGCTAATTCTTGTACAAAAGTTGTTTCATATTTTATGGTATGATGTGGTCTGTCTGATCAGTATATAAACCCAGTATGTTTGAAATAAGTTATTCATATCGCATAGGCCGAGATTGGTGTTCTGGACTCGACTGCCTGGGCTAGGCGGAAAGCAGGGCCAATAAGAACTCTAGACTGCTCGTACGGGTTTTATGCGTCGCTGGTCCGATCGATAAATTCACTGCTCTCTAATTGGCGGTATCGTTACGTTATACAATAAACAGGGCACATAGTTAATAAGTTATAACAGTATCCAACTATCATAACACAGTTGCAAAACTCAAATAATAAAATCTCGAGAATCGAACTTCTGATGAAGCACAAATAACAATATTAAGCAATAAAAACAGTGGTGAATATGATCGATTTCACTGTTTATAAGAATCTACTATTTAACTAAACAATAATTACAGATAAAAAAAGGATAATCGGGATATCTTTGGAATCAATATAACATTTATTAACTTTATTAAATAAGTTGGTGTAGCTCATTAACCAGATTGTGATAAACGTACTCAGTTTTCAGTAGCACTTTCTGTCTCACGATTAGTGATATATATTGACAGTTCATATAGAAATAGATGAAACGTGGTTCGAATCTCTGACCGAATAATTAAAAGTTAATTAGGCTAGCCACTAAATAGTCTTTATATTTAAAGCCTACTAACTACTATCTGGTAACTGCCAAAACCAACTAGATTCTTATAAAATTCGTATATTATTACGCGGTACATTACTGTACAACAAAAAAGTACAAGCAGAAAGAAAATGAAATATTGCGTACGAATAACTGGAATCTACTGAACAGCAATAAAGGATAATAAAATAGTTAACTAGAGATAAAAATTGATAATACATAGTTAATTATTTATTTATTTATTTATTTGAACACATAAATATTGGTACAAGAGAGCGCCAATATATATGCGCCACACAAAACAACGGGGATTCGAAGAGAAGTAGAAAGAAAAAAAAAAAACTAAGGAACGCAAAAGAAAAGGAGAGTAATGACGAAGAGGTACAATCAGAAGAAATCTTTCAGTTAAGGAAGACAACCACTTTTTATGAAGAAAGTAAAAGGTTACAGCAGGATCGCCACTGGCTTCTATTCTGAGCCATATCTGATAACGTCTCTAGCCACTGTGTAGCACCTTCTCTCGGACCCCAACCAGGGAGTCGTGAAGGACCGACACAAGCCAGTCCTTTGCAGCTTTCTTTCATGCCACGACACCATGTCATGCACTGACCACCTCTCCGCTTCTTCCAACCAGTCCCAGAGTCGGCAAATAATGCACGACGTGGAATTCTCTGGGACGACATTCGGAGAACATGTCCAAGCCACCGAAGTCGGTGTTTCAAGATGGTGACACCAATAACATTATCATCTCTGTGCCCGAACACACGATGCCGAACCTCTGCATTACTAACATGGTGTTGCCACTGAATGTCAGCAATCCTTCGGAGACAGCGATGATCGAACACAGAGAGTCGTCTAACGTCCTCAACTCGGAGAGGCCAGGTTTCACAAGCATAGAGCAAAACTGCTCTCACCGACGCGTTGTAGATCCGGCCTTTTACAGCCAGACTAACATCACGAAGGCGCCAAAGGTGGCCCAGATTGGCATAAGCCGCTCTGGCTTTCACTATTCGTGCATTGATCTCATCACTCACACCCCCACCAGCACTTATGCAGCTACCCAGATACACGAACTTCTCAACTACGTCTATCTGCTCACCGTCCAGGGTGAGTACAGGATTAGAATCCTGCCAGTCTTGTAGAAGTACTTTGCACTTCGAAGGTGCAAAGCACATACCATACCTACGGACACTGATTGCCAACTGATTAAGTGCGGATTGCATGCCTTGGGCATTATCGCACAGTAAGACAATATCGTCCGCATACTCAAGGTCGAGAAGTCTTTCTCCAGGCAACAGATCCACACCACCATTACTTACATTCATCAGAGCTGTTTCCAGAATGTCATCGATGGCAAAGTTGAAGAGGAATGGTGAGATTGGGCAACCCTGCCTAACCCCACTGCTCGAATGGAACAATGGAGAGAGGTGGTTGTATGCCCTCACTCTGCCTGAGGTGTTTTTATACAGGGCTTTTAGGATGTTAATAAACTTCTCAGGCACACCCTTCTTCAACAGACAATCCCAGAGAACAGTCCTATCCAACGAATCGAAGGCAGCCCTGATGTCAAGAAACACTACGATTGTTGGCCTTTGAAAAGTATGGCGGTGTTCTAACATTTGGCGGAGGGTGAAGATATGATCAATACATCCTCGACCAGAACGAAACCCAGCCTGCTTCTCGCGAGTCAATCTTTCTCGGGTTTTGAACAACCTACGAAGTATGACGGAAGCCAATAGCTTGGACGCAATCGGAAGTAAACTTATCCCCCGGTAGTTGTTACAGGAACGACGTGAACCCTTTTTAAAGATAGGGACAACTATCGACTCATTCCATGACGTTGGCACACTCTCTAGTTCCCAAACCTTTGTGAACAACGTCGTCAATTCCTTAGTCAAAAAGTCACCACCATCTTTAAAAAGAGCCGGAGGTAAGTCATCTGGGCCAGGTGATTTGTAACGCTTCAAGAGTTGGAGTTCCTTGCGGACTTCCTCCTCATTTGGTGGATCAGTCGTCACCGGCCATGGAGGGCAGGACAGTCTGACCGATGTTGCCGGAGCAGCAGGCCAGTTGAACTGCCCTTCGAAAAATTCTGCCCATCGTCCAAGACGTCGATGGATGTTAGTGATTGGCATCCCATCATCCTCGCAGATTGTTTCACTCACACCAGACTTCTTGCTGCCAGTGGCTCGGATGAGTTGGAAGAGCTTCCGGTAGTTACCAGATGCAGCTGCTGCTTCCAGCTCATTAGCACGCATCGACCACCAGGCTTCTCGGTCCTTACGCAAGCTTTGCCCGATTTCCTTACGTAAAATCCTTCGTTTATGGTCAAACTCACGGTCACCCGGAGTAGACCGACGGGCTTCAATGAGTTGTAAGGAACCAGAAGAAACCCAGTGCTTAAAAGCGGGACGTTTCGCAAACCCACAACTGACTGTTCCCGCCATTTTCATGGCGTCATGCAATTGCAACCAATGCTCATCTATACTTTTCGGTGGAGTGGTAGCTAGCCTAGAGGCTAGCTCGGTTCGATACTTACTTGCAACAGAAGTTGCAACCAGCTTGCTAACATCAATCCGTTGATGGCGTTCACTTCGTTGTCCACTGAAAAGTAAGGCAAGATTGGCGCAGACCAAGGCATGGTCAGAGTCCAGATAGGTACTCCAAAAGGAGCGGCAGTCTTGTACACAACCACGCCAGCGGTAGCTGATCGCGATGTGATCAATCTGAGTCCAGGCTTGAGATGCAGAGGGAGGACGCCAGGTGGCACATCGGCGATGACTGTGCCGAAAGTTAGTGCTAGCCAGAAACAGGTTGTGGTCTGTGCAAAGTTGCAGTAGACGGTCCCCGTTATCTGACCTGCGACCAACGAGTCCCCATCGGCCACCTAAACGACTCTCTTCTGTGCCTAGACGCCCGACCTGAGCATTCAAGTCTCCGGCTAGTACTACAATATCTGTCGAACGCACTTTCTGGAGAAGAACTGATAACTGGTGGTAAAACTCATCCTTGATTGCATCCGGGCTGCAATCTGTCGGGGCATAGGCGGAGATGACGAAAAGACATCGTTTCTCACGCCGATTTCTTCTCACTTTGATGGAACTTTCTAATCTAACAGCACATAACCGACTGTTAATGGGGATCCAATCGACTAGTGCTGCCTCAGCTCTAGCGCTTAGTGCGACACCAACGCCAGCAAGACCAGACGAAGATGCCACAGGGTCCCCGGATAAGCGCACGTAAAACAAGCTTTTTGAAGTGACAGATGTAGAGCGAATTTGTAGTACTTCGTTAGAGTCTTGAATACGGGTCTCGGATAGACAACAAACATCAATATTAAGACTTTCCAAAGACATAGCCAGCCCTATCTGTTGACCAACCTGCATAAGTGTGCGAACGTTGAAGGCAGCCAGTTTGAATGGCGCACGTGGTTTCAGAAAAACTGCTTCAGTACTCATATTCGATGGTAACATACAACTTTCAACCGGACAGTGACTCGAGAACGTTTAGATACAGTCGAATTTCCACCAAAGCCGAGCCGCTGTATAAGTATGAAAGAGGGTGAATAATGTGGGAAATAATAATAATAATGATAATAATAATAATAATAACGACAATAATAGTAATAATAATAGTATCAATAATGACAATAATAGTAATGATAATTATTTGAATTGATTGATTGTTTTTGTTTTTCGGAGCGATGAAAGTAGTTGCCAAAGACATAGAGTTCATCGTTTGTGTGTGGGCTGTGATACTGCCCGGGTGCCCAAACCGAAGCAGGTGGTTTTCTTAGGGGGCCACCCCCCGAGCCTTTGACCTAAAGGTCTAACCCACAAGGCAGTGGAGCATCGTAAGGAGATGCAGTCCCATGGTAGCCGGTGACCAACGATTGGTTCATACGCCATTCGTTCCCGCAGGATACTGGAGCCCATGTGCACCATTGATTTGAAATCCGGTTAAAGCGCCGGACATTCGCTTTTCGTCCTCTCATTTTCGTAAACAACACCCCCGCCACGAGAAGGCAATGAGTAGGACTTCCCTGGCAGAGGCTGTATACGCGTGGCCGTTAATCATACAAAGTTTACAAAATAATGAGTTTTAATTACCTGCATTACTTTGAGAAAGCAAAATTGAACTGGGAGCGACAATATAGAATCCAATACCCATCAAAAAGTGCATGAAACTCATTTGAGAATTACTGAATACGGAAACGTATTCGCACTCATACAGTCGACGTGAAACATGTACCAAATATATGATTAAAACAGAAATTATGGTTTTGTTGAGTACTGAAGCTAGAAAAAAGACTTTCGAAGTTATATAAATTCAGAAAGATTTAAAATAGAAAGCAACCTAAATGAATAATTATGTCCATACTATTGATCGGATCTGAGAAGAGTTTTTCGAAGTTCAAATAAGGAACTATAACTGGTAAACTTAAACAAGTCAAGGGTGAGACAGTAATTTGTAGATGGGATTGGTACTATAACTCAAAATGATTGCAGCTAAAACCGTGAGCTTGATTCAGGTTTATTGCTTTAAAGATACGATTTTGAATGGAGTTGAGAGCGCACACAAATGAAGAGTTATGAAATAGAACGAAACAGATTTCCAATGGATCCTGGTTTTAAATTATTTCTCAATTGAAATCAATTTACGACAAAAACGATTTCTGAATTAACTACATTGCTTAACAAACCTGATATATTTGTGATATTGGCGATAACTCGTAACTACATTAGCTCTATGCCCTCCAAGCTCCAGCTAAACGAAAGGAAGATTTATAACGTACGGAACAAAGAAGATTGATTTACATTCGAGTTTATTCAGTTATTCATCAAACATATTTTGTGGTAATTAGTTACAGACTTTGCCAAATTAAACAAGGACCAAGAATCAGACTGAATTTATTAATACAATGAGAGTAAACTGAACGAAAATCATACTCAAGTAATTATTATTTTAAATAAGGCCAGAACAAACATTGATGCATAAATATTTGTTCTGGCTTTATTTAAGTTCATAAAGGGAACTAATTGCATAAATTAATATTTTCATCCTCCCGGATTCAATAATTAAAGTACACATATTTAATATTTTAACCAAACTAATTTTTATCTTTAGTCATTCAATCGTAATGAGATGTGAGTAGATTAAAATTGAACAGGATACATTAAAGGAATTACACTTTTAATAATTAGAACTAAAACAGTTTAATATTTACTCATTAATTAAACCTCTTGCTACATAATAATAAAAAAATTATTGTATAATGACAAAAAGTAAATAGCAAAGTTTACAGCAAGTAGACAAATTTCGCAATAATACTGTGCTTTACTATCCATTTATGGTACCTAAAATCAGAGTAGTCAGTTCAACAACATGAAAAACTTCATTTGGTTGCATGCTTACAAAATAATTATAATCAGAATGAGGTTTGTGAAGACTGTAGTGATTTTAAATGTTGAATTCATAAGTCATGTAAGCTAGAACACCATTGAAAACCTGGAAGCATTGGACTGCCGTTTCGTCCTAGTATGGGACTCCGCAGTGTGCATCCACGATCCCGCACTTACTACTCGAACCCAGGACATTCGGTCTCGCGCATGAACGCTTAACCACGGAGCCGGCATTCAGCGGTGTTAATGACAGGTATCTACCTCAGACAATGGATAAATGGTTATGCAACCATTCATGGGTCGACTAAAGTTAGGCATTTACACCGTTGAATGCTGGCTCAGTGCGTTAATGGTTAAACGTTCACGCGCAAAAACGTAGGTCCTGGGTTCGAGTAGTAAGTGCAGGGTTGTGTATGAGCGCTTCCGAGGAGTCCCATAGTAGGACGAAACGGCAGTACAGTGCTTCCAGGTTTTCAATGATAGTCTAGCCTACATCGACTCATGAATTCAACTACAAAACAATTGCGGTATACAATACAAGGATTGGGTAACAAGTATGCTGCAAAAGTGACAAAATATAAGGGTATGAGAAACAATGTTAAATCCACTTACATAGTATAAATAATTCAACAAGTAGGATACATAATGTAGAGAATATACCAATCATGTAAAAATATTTAAACCATCTGTAAAGAAAGATTTGATACAATTACTTATAAATACGCATATAGTTAATTTATTGATCGGAGAAATTTGAGAAAAAGAAATGATTACGTGTAAAAATATGAAACAATTTTAGTTTGTTAATGAATACCTGATGATTAACTAAATTGACAAACGAAGTGAGAAAGATACTAACAGCTGTACGAATGCAAACAATCCCGAAAACAATGTCAGTTTTTGATAAAACATCTTTAAGTAGAATACTTGGTAAAAAAAATGGAAATCCATAATTTACATAAATGTGGCTTTGAAATGGATGTCATGAAATCTTGACAAACTATTTAACTTAATATCAGCAAGTAAAGATAACAGATAGTAATAATGGTATATCATGAACTGATTAATGTTACGAAATATTAACTAATGAATTTAGAATTAGTGCACGTGAACGAAACGCGACTATACAAAAGTACGAAGTTTTCAGTCTGAACATCCCACAGTTCACAAGTTACCACGAAAATGAATTACTTAACAGATTCGTGTGATTTCATCCTACAACGAAACCTATCTTTGAGGTAGCCATCTTCATGAATACTAAATGATAAAGAAAAACTGTTGGGGTGCTATAACTCTCTAAACCGGCGAATTAAGAAAAAATGAATAACACCATTTGAAGGTCCAACTCAGGATTACTTATTTAAGCAACACTAGACCTCAGTCGGTCATTCGTATGCGACATACAACCTGGTATATATGTGCATTTGTCCACGCTGCCACACTATCTCAGTACAGCGAGACGCTAGAGTAGTAGGAGTAGCACCAGAAAAGGAAAAAGATATAATTCAAGAAGTCTTCAGGATGAAAAAAGATTGTAAGATAATATACAAAACTTGGGATCTAAGCGAAGACAAAGAGTGAATATATTCCTACCATTTCGGACTATTACGAGTCGTGTAGAAACCAACCACGTAATTTGAACTTAGCTGCACGACTCCGTTTATTAGTGAATGACTTGACGAGCTGATGGAACGTTTGATTCGGGAGCATATAGCTTCTTTCCAACCTATTCCTACATCAGCAAAACTTGGGTGTCCAGATAGTCGGTGGATGAGCATACGTAATACATTTCCATATTACCCAGTCAGTAAAGATTCATTATCTCACGAATCGATTTAACAACCTTAACTGATACCCTTCATTTAGCCTCAGCATTGCTAACTGGGTGGTTCACACATTGAGACACGTTGATCTACTCGTGCTAACCGCGAATTTAACAATAAACACAGATTCTTACGTTAAAAAATTCTGCAATCAAGAAGTCTGGTGTTAGTGAGGCAATGCATGAAGCTTATTTAATGCCAATAAAATATATTCAGTGATATCTTGAAGAATGGACGGAGTTCTACGAAAAGCAGTTCGGCCGGTGATGACTGACCACATAACGACGCGGAAGTTCGCCAGGAACTTAAACTCCCGAAGCCCCAGAAAACTTAAACTTATTTCTTTCTGCGGAGGATAGAGAACCTTTGGCTAAGGAACTGACTACGTTGTTAGGAAAGGTCAGGCGAATAGAGTGCTCTAACATCTTGGAATAAGAAGACAGTCGTCGGACTCAATTAATGGGGGTAAGACTACTTCCGATAGTGTTTGAAATATTAGCCTCGGTCATACTTCAAAACATCCAAAACCAGACTGATTTTCGTTCTCGTCGTGAGTGTATCGATCATATATTTACTCCCCCCCACACACACAAAATTTCGTAGTACCGCCTTACTTACTGCAGGCGAACCATCGCTGTTTCTTGATATCATGGCTACTTTCGATACTTTGGACAGAACTATACTCCAGAGGAACAAGAAGGCAGTAATCAATACCAGCCGAACAAGAGCAGAAAAAGCCAAAGCACAAGCTGAATACACAGAAGTAAACAAACAAGTGAAGAGCAACATCAAAACTGAGAAACGTAAATATGTGGAAGATTTAGCAACGACGGCGGAAAAGGCTGCAAGAGAAGGAAACATGAGACAATTGTATGACACGACAAAGAAACTCTCTGGAAATCGCCGCAAACCAGAACGACCAGTGAAAAGCAAGGAAGGCAAGGTAATCACCAACATTGAAGAGCAACAAAACAGGTAGGTAGAACATTTCAAAGAACTCTTGAATCGACCAGCTCCACTGAACCCACCCAGCATCGAAGCAGCACCCACGGACCTCCCAATCAATGTTAGCCCACCAACAATTGAAGAAATCAGCATGGCCATTAGACAAATCAAGAGTGGCAAAGCAACAGGACCGGACAACATCCCTGCAGAGGCACTAAAAGCAGACGTAGCGGCAACTGCAAGGATACTCTACATTCTGTTCAGCAAGATTAAGGATAAGGAACAAGTACCCAAAGACTAGAAAGAAGGACTTCTGATCAAAATACCGAAGAAAGGCGATCTCAGCAACTGTGATAACTACAGGGGCAAAACTCTTCTCTCAATACCGGGGAAAGTCTTCAACAGGGTATTGTTAAACAGAATGAAGGACTGCGTAGACGCCCAACTTCGTGACTAACAGGCAGGATTCCGTAAGGATAGATCGTGTACAGACCGAATCGCAACTCTACGGATCATTGTGGAACAATCAATTGAATGGAATTCATCATCAGGCAAGGCTGCTTACTCTCACCCTTTCTCTTTCTCCTGGTGATCGACTGGATCATGAAGACGTCAACGTCTGAAGGGAAGCACGGGATACAATGGACATCTAAGATGCAGTTGGATGATCTAGACTTCGCAGACGATCTGGCCCTTCTATCCCAAACGCAACAACAGATGCAGGAGAAGACGAAGAGTGTGGCAGCAGCCTCAGCTGCAATAGGTCTCAATATACACAAAGGGAAAAGCAGGATTCTCCGATACAACACAGAATGCACCAATTCAATCACAATTGACGGAGAAGATTTGGAAGATGTAAAAACCTTTACGTATTTGGGCAGCATCATTGATGTACAGGGTGGATCCGATGCAGCTGTGAAGGCGCGGATCGGTAAAGCAAGAGCAGCATATTTACAACTGAGGAACATCTGGAACTCAAAGCAACTGTCAACCAACACCAAGGTCAGGATTTTCAATACAAATTTCAAGACAGTTCTACTATATGGGGCAGAAACCTGGAGAATTACGAAGGTTATCATCCAGAAAATACAGGTGTTTATTAACAGTTGTCTACGTAAAATACTTCGGATCCGTTGGCCGGACACTATTAGCAACAACGTACTGTGGGAGAGAATAAACCAGATTCCAGTGGAGGAAGAAATCAGGAAGCGCTGGAAGTGGATAGGACACACCTTGAGGAAAGCACCCAACTGCGTCACAAGACAAGCCCTCACATGGAATCCTCAAGGCCAAAGGAAAAGAGGAAGACCAAAGAATACATTACGCCGAGAAATGGAGATAGACATGAGAAAAATGAACAAGAATTGGATGGAACTAGAAAAGAAGGCCCAGGACAGAGTGGGTTTAAGAATGCTGGTCGGCGGCCTATGCTCTATTGGGAGTAACAGGCGTAAGTAAGTAAGTATACTCCGGGATAGTATGTTGAAGGGTGTATCTGAGTTTGCTATAATCTTGAGGGTTCTCTATAAAAACACCTCAGGCAGACTGAGGGAATACAACAACCTCTTTCCATTTTAAATAAACAATATATTTCTAATATCCCAATGAGTAGAAAATTTAGATTTTGACATTTCGTCACTTAGTGTAAGCCACTTATTCAGAGAATAAATAACCAAATAAAAAGTTAATCCGTTTAAATAGTACAACGGAACAACAAGAATGTTATGTAATCAATAAAAAAAACAAGTCTAAATAAATCAATGTCATGTCATTTCGGTTAAGGTGATTCATAAGCTACATGTATGTAAATTTGTGTATATGTAAGCGTGCACTGAGATGATGTCACTTTTTGATAAGACCACGTTGTTGCTCTTCTTCACTTGATTTGTAATCCAATTACGATTGGAAGTACCACTAAGTAGTTGTCTCATTACATATCCTTATATGCAATCAATCTTTTATATATTACCATCATTGTGTTAAGTACTATAAATTTGTTCATCTTGTTGTGTTAATGATGTATGGAAACTTGAACCGATGTATATATGTGCTTGGTTCTACGTTGTACCTGACTGATTTTCTGATGTGTACAAAACATTATCAAGCCAATTCAATAAATACCAGTTTAACATCCTGGTCAACCGAGATTCTTATGATAATAAGATACATTTGTAATATTAAAGTGAGTAGGAAAATAAATTTCTGATGTCTAATACCATGAACGATACGCCAAGTTCTCAATTTATTTGAGACTATCAAGTCAAATCTTAGCAATCACTTTTTCTTAAAAAAGTCCGTAGTAAGGGTATTCTTTTTGTCTGTACGTATAGGTTTGTACACTAATCTTATGTTAAAAATGAAAACAGAGGTAAAGAATTTATCTTACCCTCGACATATTTTGTGTGGATGAAGGTGGGAATTCAAGAAATACTAACATATTCATTTGCAAAAGAGTCACAGCTACACGTTTGTATAAAACACTTGACAATGATCAATGGGGAACAATAAAAACTAATTCTGAAGTGTAGCAAACTGAAACAGGACACATTACTACAGAATTACCTTTTAGGAACTCTCGAATACTTTAAATATTCACAATACTGAGGGTTCGACTTTCCAAACAGGAGAAAATGTTGTATGAACAGCGGAGAATATGAGCCATAGAAGTGATAGAAAATTGCGAAGAATATACAAGCGATCCCAAGACCACTAAATATTCTCAGAAGTCGTGATAGAATGTTTACAAATATTGTGTCCTAAAGAATTAAGACATGTAGTATTCTTATAATAACTGATGAACTACATAAATGTTGGATATAATTATTTTGCAGTACCCTATTATTTATTTGTTAAATAACAAAGTAAAGGTCAACATAGCATGCCCTGAAACGTATATTATACTAGGGTTGACTGGCGCAAATAGGATGACCAAATGCAAGAGACCAAGAACCTGCGACTTATGCTAATTTGTTACATACATGTTATCTATTCGTTTGTATTGGACACCCCACAGAGACCACCTCGAACTACTCCACAGTAGAAAGCTAAATAACATATTAGTGTTACAAACGTTGGTTTTATAGCTTAAACCAGACGATAGGTAGGAACCGAGAAGAAAGTTGCGAGTAGACGTTAAAGTGAGGAAACCGTTTATCCATGCAAACACTACTTACCATACATGGAATAGTACCAAGTACGCTTAATGAGCAATATGTACTTCAATCGTAATCTGCATCAGGAGCAGATGCTTCTAACAATCTGATTTGTATATATGTATCATTCATCTTATAGCCACAAATAAAATTTATAGACATTTATGCATTAGCATACATGTCTATTAATTTTAGTCATTTCAAGAAGGATACACACACCTATATATCATTCCGCTTTTGACAAAATACAAAAGCAAGGAGCTACAATAACTTCAAAAGTGTGATTTTGACATTCGGTGTAGTAATTAATTAAAATCAGTGAGGATTGATCTAATTAGATCGAACCTGGATCCAGGTTGATTAGTCGACTTATAAGTGCAACAAGATTCACTTATTTGTAAAAACAGAACTCTACTTAATGTATTTTCACGCAATCAACCTGATCTACCATCGTAAACAGCATTTAGAAATGAGTTACATCGTTTAGTGTCACTGGATAGTCCATTTAAGCGAACTTTGTCATTAATGACCTTGGAAATAACAACGCGCACACATTTTCAGCATGTACACATTCCCAATGGCAAAACTCTCAAATTTCAAGTATTGTATAATGGTATTAGAAAAGGAGATGTTCTTCAGGCAGTTTAATTTAGTGGCAAAAAAAGAGTTACTGACGATGGAATGGTATAGTCCGTGTGACATTTCTCCTACAACAGAAAGGTGAAACAAGATATTAACAATAAAAGTCTTCAATCCTAAGTAATAAGGATAGTAGGTTTGAAGACCTGTGTTAATCCTCGCAGCTCGTTTTCCAATGGAGGTTCGGCTTCTTCTGGAGAATATTCACTAATAGTGCTGATAACACTTTTTCAGGTAAGGCGTTCCGCTTAATGACTACTTGATGGGAAAAACAGAACCACGCCTACAAGGCTGAGCCATGCCATCCAATTGGATTAATGTTCCTGCATTCACTAATATTGGCGTTCTCTTGGTGTTACATGTTGAATATCTATTTTCCCAGTTATCTCATGATCAGCTTTGAGGGTTGTGTGGTTAGAATCCAGTGCCACTACAAGTCTACTAAAGACATATCAACCGGATGAGCGCTTTTCTTGTCTATTTTTTCCCAAATGCCCTGGTACGGCCGAGAGCGAAGTGGGTTCGCCCTCCCTCTCGAAATACTCTCACACGGCCACGCGTATTAAGCCTCTGCCAGGGAAGTCCTACTCACTGCCTTCTCGTGGCGGGGGTGTTGTTTACGAAAATGAGAGGACGAAAAGCGAATGTCCGGCGCTTTAACCGGATTCCAAACCAATGGTGCACATGGGCTCCAGTATCCTGCGGGAACAAATGGCGTATGAACCAATTTTCGGTCACCGGCTACCATGGGACTGCATCTCCTTACGATGCCCCACTGCCTTGTGGGTTTGACCATTGGGTCAAAGGCTCGAGGTGTGGCCCCCTAAGAAAACCACCTGCTTCGGTTTGGGCACCCGAGCAGTATCACACACAATTGACGAACTGGACTGTTTATGATCATGGAAAATAATTCTCTTGCTTCGACGAACAATCAAATGATTCAAATATTATTATTGCTATTATTATTGCTACTATTATTATTATTATTTACTACATCATTATTCCCCCTCTTTTATTCCTACTCTGTCTATACGTATTTTTTTCGAATTATAGAGCAGCTCGTTTATGGTGGAAATTCGACTGTATCTAAACGTTCTGGAGTCACTGTCCGATTGAAAATTGTATGTTACCACCGAATACGAATACTGGAGCAGTTTTTCTGAAAACACAATCACCATTCAAACTGGCTGCCTTCAACGTTCACACATTTATGCAGGTCGAACAACAGATACGGATGGCTATGTCTTTAGGAAGTCTTATTATTGATGTTTGTTATCTATCCGAGACCCGTATTCAAGAATCTGGCGAAGTGATACAAATTCGATCTCCATCTGTCGCTTCGAAAAGCTTGTTTTACGTGCGTTAGAGCAGAGGCAACACTAATCGATAGGATCCCCATTAACAGTCGGTTATTTTCCGTTAGATTAGAAAGTTCCATCAAAGTGAGAAGAAATCGCCGTGAGAAACGATGTCTTTCCGTCATCTCCGCCGATGCCCCGACAGATTGCAGCCCGGATGCAATCAAGGATGAATTCTACCACCAGTCAACTGTTCGACAGATACTGTAGTACTAGCCGGAGACTTGAATGCTCAGGTCGGGCGTCTAGACACAGAAGAGAGTTGTTTAGGTGGCCGATTGGGACTTGATGGTCGCAGGACAGATAACGAGGACCGTCTAATGAAACTGTGCACAGACCACAACCTACTTTTGACTAGCACTAACTTCCGGTACAGCCATCGCCGATGTGCCACCTGGCGTCCTCCCTCTGCATCTCAAGCCTGGACTCAGGTTGATCCCATCGCGATCAGTTACCGCTGGCATGGTTGTGTACAGGACTGCCTCTCTTTTTGAAGTACCTATCTAGACTCCGATCATGCCTTGGTCTGCGCCTATCTTACCTTGCTTTTCAGTGGCCAACGAAGTGACCGTCACCAAAGGGTTGATGTTAGCAAGTTGGTTGCAACTTCTGTTGCTAGTAAGTATCAAACAGAGCTAGCATCTAGGCTGACTACCATTCCACCGAAATGTATAGATGAGCATTGGTTGCAATTGCATGACACCATCAAAATGGCGAGTAAATTCAGTTGCGGGTTTGCGAAACGTCCCACTTACAAGCCTGGTGGTCGGAGCGTGCTTATGAGCTGGAGGCAGAAGCTGCATCTGGTAACTACCGGAAGCTCTTCCGACCTACCCGACCCACTGGCAGCAAGAAGTCTGGTGTAAGCGAAACAATCTACGAGGATTATGGGATGCCAATCACTAACATCCATCGACGTCTTGGACGATGGGCAGTCCAACTGGTCTGTTGCTCTGGCAACATCGGTCAGACTGTCCTGCCCTCTATGGCCGGTGACGACTGATCCACCAAATGAGGCGGAAGTCCGCAAGGAACTCCAACTCTTGAAGCGCTACAAATCACCTGGCCCAGATGACTTACCTCTGCCTCTTTTTAAAGATGGTAGTGACTTTCTGACTAAGGAATTGACGACGTCGTTTACAAAGGTGTGGGAGCTAGAGAGTGTATCAACGTCATGGAATGAGTCGATAGTTGTCCCTATCTTTAAAAAGGGTTTGTAGAATTATGGTCTACTACGATATTAGTACTGCTCTAATAATAGACCTAATCCTAAATTTGTAGATTCGTCATGATATAACTGCCTAATCTTTAAGATCTTACGTGGAAGTCACACCATCGACTACGCCAACTCACTGTATCGTATCAATTACCAATACATGATGAAGAACCAGCTTAGGTTAGAGAAGGAACAATATATTTAATATGAATAGAGACCACGCCTGCATGGCCGAGCCATGCCACTCGATCAACTCCAGTCCATTCAATTTATTCTCCGCGCCTTCTCCATTTTTAGGTATTTCTCCGCGTTAAATATTGAATATCTATTTTCTGAGTAGTCTCGTGTTCACAGCTTTGTGGATTGTGTGGCTATTGTCCAATGCCACTACACTACTCTCCCACCAGAATCAACGTGATGTTGGTTCGATACCAAATTGGATGGGATCGTCGTGCGCCGAAGGTTACCAAGACTAGGAAGAATCCCCCGGGTAATGATAAGCTGAAAGATAAATCAAAAAGAAGGCGGCAGCATCTGGTCGGGAAATACATGTAATAATTTTTTTTTTTTAAAAAAAATCTGCCTTCATGCTTAAAACGCTTGAAATGAAAGTTTTGGTGAAGATTATTTGAACTATAAAAAATGAGATTACAATAACAATAATAAAACGATGCGTGTTAATACCGTTGGTTAATAACTTAACGTATAGGTAGTAAGTATTTTGTGTTTAGAAATATTAAAGTGATGAATATTGTAGAAATGTTAATATTGGTATTAGTTTTGGTTTAAATTATGAAATCAGATAACGATTATGCCGGTAAGTTGTCCATAAGAGTTGAATTCCAATTGCATCTGTATTAGTAGGCTAACTGAAAGAACAAAAGTATTACCATGGAAAAGAATTCCAACTAGTGTTCCAGTTAGTTTGATACGGTTTATTTAGTTACGGGGAGATTTTCTCAACCTCATTTTTATTTGACCGTGATAGAATTTAGTAATACTACTAATACACATGAATGGTTATCAAAATAAAATTTAAATACGTGAGTGATAATTATATGAATTTTGGACAGATAGCTAGGAACAAATCGCTAAACATGAGTGTATTCGTAAGAGACATGCTCTAGACTCAATGTTCTGATCTGTGGCAGACTATTTACTTGTATTTATACTTGCCGGCTGATTGGACATACAAGTTAGTTGCAAGTATGCAGTTTATCATAAGGCGGAACACGATTTAATTGAGATATAGTGGTTATAAGTTATTTAAATCAGTTAGGCCTATGTGTCATATTACTAGGTGATGTCGTGCTGCAGGATGTATTCGGCTAAATAAGCTTTTACAAGTTGATTAATAGTGAGTGATGCTCATGTGATTATCAGGGAGAACATAAGTTGTAACCAAGGGGAGTACACTCCCAACTCACGTCTATGATAATGGCTTGAACCTTAGTCAGTGTTGGGGTAAATTCGACATTGATGTTTTCAGTTTGCAGGAGGTTTGCTCGACTGCTTATACTGATTATTTGCATGCATGATTGTGTCGCTAAACCATCAATTAGACTGACAAGGTTTTGAGATATTTACTGAATGAGCAACTGATAGAGAAACATACTGTAATCATCTGTGATGGATGAAGATACCAAGAAAACAACACCATGTAATGGTAATTATAAGTCAATTTGTTGACCGATTTCGTTACTAGTTTCATTAATTTTATCAGTCATATTACGTGATTGTCAAGTTATGACAATGCTTTATGACGATATCCTGAAACTATTAAATTTAACTAGTTATAGTGTTGATTAAGGATTAGTCAGTGGAAAATAGGTATTGTTGCTTTAGGTGATTCAAAATCATCAGAAATTTATAACGTTAAAGAATCCGAGACGCCTAATTTAATTATAAATTTTAATTCGGAAATATTCGTTTAGTGTTAATTCTAGTAGGCTACGGAGTTTTGATTTTAAACGTTTGTTTAGCCAACAGCTACTTGGGGATTTAGTTATTTTACTAGTGCAGATGATAGTACCTAAATTTTTAATCTTATTATCTAAACTATGTTCGCATTTTAGGCTGCTAATATGATAAACCAATCCATAAACCCAAATACGATTAGCAACAACGACTATGATGGGTTTATTGATAAATGTTAAAGGCGATCCAGATGATTTCTAAATTTATAAGACATGGAGATATAGTGTAACGTATGTATGGGCCAGGTTAACATGCAAGTTGTTGACGTATATGACGATTTAAAAATAATGAACATGACCAGAAAATAATTTTAGAGTTTAGACTGCTTGTGAAGCTTCAGGCAGGAATATGATGTGTTATAAACATTCCATAAGAAGTTACTGCATT